GGGATTTTGCTCGTTGCCTCCGCGCGATTTTCTTTCTTTCTTTCTCCTCGTCCTCTTCGTACTCCACGTATAACACATCCGAGTTCAAGTTCAAATCCGATGCGTGGTCATCGTCGAGGAAAATCTGCACGCTCCTCGTCGTTTGTCGGCTATTCCTCGACGCTTTGTCTTTCGATCCCCTGTAAAATCTCGTTTCTCCTTTATCTCCTTTATCTCAGATACCTGCGGACAACGCCTCCTCGTAGCGCGATATATTTTTTTTTTCTTTTTAAGAGCTTTACATCTTCCGAAGAAATCATTGAGAATCGCGAAGATTAAATATCATAAACGAACTGTGGATTTTCATGCGTTTGAAGGAAATTTGGAGGCGCAGAAATATGCAAAAATATGTAAAAATATACAAAGTATCATACTTCTTAGACTCATCATACTTCTTTTTTCTTTTTTTAATTTCTTTGAAAATATAAAATTATACAAAAGTCTAATTATACGTTACAAGGAGACTTATATTACAATATTAAAGGATATTTGATATTTTGAATATAATCGAAAATTATCAGAAGAATTCGCGAACCTCTTGTTCGTGATACCTTGATAATTTTAAGAAACGTAAAATTCTTAAAAAGATAGAAATTCGGCAACAAGGTTAATCTATTCTTTCCCTTTCCTAGGGAAGAAATTCCCTTCTTTCGACACACGAGGCAGATTGATACCTCTGCGAGATAACCAAATCGGAGCTCGACGTCGTTCCGCTTTGTTGTACAGGAACCGATGACATTGATATTTTGTTAAATCAACTCTGAATTGAAAAGCCTCCGTTTCCTTTGTCGAAACGAAACTCTTGCGGAAACAAATGATCAGAGAACATAGAGGGTGTGTCGATATACTATTGCATATGAAGTATCCGACTTCATAGTCGTGATTTAATGACTAAAACGAACTGTTCGATATTTCGTTTAGTCATCGGTTAAAAACTTGAAACCAACGCGACGATGTTCTCGACGAGTTTCATTTCAGGCATAAATAAATTATGCATCCATCGAATCCGAATACATTTTTTTAGAAAATTTTGAACTTTGTTCTAAACGCAGTAAAAGCTGTAATTGTAACATTGATACTGGATTCAGAAAGGGTTATTTTAAATGAAAGAAGAAATAAGCTTCCAAGAAGAAAGTATTTTAAATAAAAAAAATGACGCGAAGAAATTGGACCAGGAGAAAAGAAAAACTATTACAATGATCAGACAACTAAAGATTTCATTCCGAATAATTGGATCAAGTTAAGCAGAAACCTATCTCAATCCTCAAAATGACAAGAAAAATTAATCAAACGTGGTATTTTACAAAAATTCATTAATTCATGGGACAATCCTTATTTTATATCTACAGTTAGCATTATATCTACAGCTGTAAAAAACCGATCAAATCAAAGTTCCATTCTTATATTTAATCTATTATGTATTATTCGGTGAATGTCAATGTATAAAATATAATAGACGAGAAATAAAATGTATAGAAGTAAAACGCCTTTTTTCCCCCTGAATTAACATCTTCAAGTTAAATTTACTCAATTTCAGATTATTGAAGATTGATGGCTGTCTACGTAACTGGGCTTATTATTTATTTGTTATAAATATTTTATAGCCTTGACTCGATACTTGTGATTATTCATACAGAAGCTCCCGCAGAAACGGAAACGTAAAAAATCGCCACCGCATTTCATTTCCGTTGTAACGTCGCATGTAAGAATTTATTATGCATGTATTTAATCCTCTTTTCGAATTCCTCAGGCAGAAGTTGGACAAAACAATCTGATTAACGATTGAAAATTACGATGCGAGTCAGATTATTAATTACAAGTGCTTACGAACGATTAATTTAAAAATCATTAGGCCCATTCAGTACTTACTCTATTTCTAATATTTCTTTTCACGTTCTAAAATAATCGATAAATTTCATTTGAAAATGTTTCTTTGTAAGTATATATTGAACACAATTATAAAAATCCGATTGAAAAGTGACTGCACGTTCAAACATATTTCTTTCCCCGATTATATCAATTTGATTCAACAATTCGATCGCGATAGATTGGCATAAATCGAAGGTGAATAAATACATGATGAATAACCGAAAACACGGATGTATTCGAATATTTGGTTTATTCGTTGCATATGCAAAGATCCAGCCTTTGAACCGACGTGAATGAAAATCATATTGCTGTAAGGTTAATTTTAGTGTCACTGCTTCCCAAGGTTTCACAATGGAATCAGTCAATTACCCGGTTTCCATCGAATTGGCTCGTAGAAGGGAAAGGAACAAAGAGGAAGGTGGACAAAGATCTTCACGAGGAAGAAGTAAAGGGAAGCAGAACCAGAAGTAAACCAGAAGGAAATTAGTAATTGTGGATATTGACGCGTCGCACTATGCTTGTAAGTTTCTTTCTTTCTGTCAAGTAATTGAACTTTTGTCAACGATACGTGGTGGATACAC